AAACCTGCTCCTGACTCAAGCCAAATGTTGCTCAGCTGCAGTGAGGCTTTTAGAGTTGGTAAAACCTGCTCCTGACTCAAGCCAAATGTTGCTCAGCTGCAGTCAGGCATTTAGAGTTGGTAAAACCTGCTCCTGACTCAAGCCAAATGTTGCTCAGCTGCAGTGGGGCATTTAGAGTTGGTAAAACCTGCTCCTGACTCAAGCCAAATGTTGCTCAGCTGCAGTGGGGCATTTAGAGTTGGTAAAACCTGCTCCTGACTCAAGCCAAATGTTGCTCAGCTGCAGTGAGGCATTTAGAGTTGGTAAAACCTGCTCCTGACTCAAGCCAAATGTTGCTCAGCTGCAGTGAGGCATTTAGAGTTGGTAAAACCTGGTGCGGTAAACTCATGGTGTCACACCCTCAGCGGTAAACTCATGGTTTCGCAATCCCCCTGGGGTAAACTCATGGTGTCACACCCTCAGCGGTAAACTCATGGTGTCGCAATCCCCCTGGGGTAAACTCATGGTGTCACACCCTCAGCGGTAAACTCATGGTGTCGCAATCCCCCTGGGGTAAACTCATGGTGTCACACCCTCAGCGGTAAACTCATGGTGTCGCAATCCCCCTGGGGTAAACTCATGGTGTCACACCCTCAGCGGTAAACTCATGGTGTCGCAATCCCCCTGGGGTAAACTCATGGTGTCACACCCTCAGCGGTAAACTCATGGTGTCGCAATCCCCCTGGGGTAAACTCATGGTGTCACACCCTCAGCGGTAAACTCATGGTGTCGCAATCCCCCTGGGGTAAACTCATGGTGTCACACCCTCAGCGGTAAACTCATGGTGTCGCAATCCCCCTGGGGTAAACTCATGGTGTCACACCCTCAGCGGTAAACTCATGGTGTCGCAATCCCCCTGGGGTAAACTCATGGTGTCACACCCTCAGCGGTAAACTCATGGTGTCGCAATCCCCCTGGGGTAAACTCATGGTGTCACACCCTCAGCGGTAAACTCATGGTGTCGCAATCCCCCTGGGGTAAACTCATGGTGTCACACCCTCAGCGGTAAACTCATGGTGTCGCAATCCCCCTGGGGTAAACTCATGGTGTCACACCCTCAGCGGTAAACTCATGGTGTCGCAATCCCCCTGGGGTAAACTCATGGTGTCACACCCTCAGCGGTAAACTCATGGTGTCGCAATCCCCCTGGGGTAAACTCATGGTGTCACACCCTCAGCGGTAAACTCATGGTGTCACAATCCCCCTGGGGTAAACTCATGGTGTCACACCCTCAGCGGTAAATTCATGGTGTCACAATCCCCCTGGGGTAAACTCATGGTGTCACAATCCCCCTGGGGTAAACTCATGGCGTCACAATCCCCCAGGGGTAAACTCATGGTGTCACACCCTCAGCGATAAAATTATGGTGTCACAATCCCCCTGGGGTAAACTCATGGTGTCACAATCCCCCTGGGGTAAAATCATGGTGTCACACCCTCAGCGGTAAACTCATGGTGTCACAATCCCCCTGGGGTAAACTCATGGTGTTACACCCCCAGCGGTAAACTCATGGTGTCACACCCTCAGCGGTAAACTCATGGTGTCACACCCACCTGCTTTAAACTCATGGTGTCACACCCCCCCTGTGGTAGACTCATGGTGTCACACCCCCTGCAGTAAACTCATGGTGTCACACCCCCTCCCTTCGGTAAACTCATGGTGTCACACCCTCGTGCGGTAAACTCATGGTGTCACACCACCCTGTGGTAAACTCATGGTGTCACACCCCCTGCGGTAAACTTATTGTTTCCCACCCCCCTAGCGGTAAACTCATGGTGTCACACCACCCTGTGGTAAACTCATGGTGTCACACCCCCTGCGGTAAACTTATGGTTTCCCACCCCCCTAGCGGTAAACTCATGGTGTCACACACCCCTGCGGTAAACGCATGGTGTCACACCCACCCCCCACGGTAAACTCAAGGTGTAAGACCCTCCACCCCCCGACTTCCACGATGGATTTCTTCTTGTTAAAATAGTTCCACAGTATAACAAGAACAAAAACAAATTAATTGAAGGCCAGGATGCCATGAGGGTATTTCCTGTCCTTGTCTTCACAGCTGCAACCTGTCAGTCACTTGATCAAAATCAATATTAATATGCTTCACCGTATCATTTTCAATTGATAGTAGAGCCAGGTCAGAATGTCTTGACTGTCCCATGGTGGATAGTGAATAGTTTTTGATCAGTCTTAGTTTTGAAAAACTCCGCTCACATCAAGACACAGACACACAGATTGTAAGAAACAAGGGAAAGCTTAAAGAGGGTATTGGAAGTGATTCTAGGAAGTCCCATTCAGCTATGAATTTAAAAACATCAAATACTGACCACTCCATGACTTGTTGAAATCCTATATCAGCTGCCTTTAGGTGTCTTCTCAGCCTTGATATTGTGGAGAGTCCAAACCTTGGTCGTCAATCTGTGTGGTACAGGGGGTGGGGTAAATCTCACAACACGGAGTCTGACCAGCTGACCAACGGTCGTAGCGTATCAGATTACACCGTGACGAGGCTAGTACGACCGTTACGTCGACATTAGTGGCGAGTTAATGTCCGTTTAAACGGAAAAGGAGGGTGGGGAGGTAGGACAATTTTAGTGCCAGAGATGAAGACATAGATTAAAGCCCTGGGAAGGAATCTCTAGAGACGCCACGACCAATTCGGGGACGTATAAAAGGGGACCGTCAGACGGGACTAGGTGAGAACTCGGCTGGACAGGATGCGTCGGGGACAGTCACGGTAGAACTCAGCCGGATATGAAAGAGGACAGTCGGGTTTGGACAGTCAAGAGACCACAGTAGAGAGAGAAGTGAACCGGGACAGTCAGAGCTGAGTGCGAGACGAGAGAAAAAGAAATCGAAGAAACAGATCGATAAAAGATCAACGACTGTCACCCTCATCGATTTGTCTGTTCCTTGATTGGTGAAATATGAGTGACAGGTGTAGGAAGTGTTTCCCTCCAAACAACGAGCTAGAGAACTAAGGTAGAACAGAGATGGCCAAGGTTCTCTACAGTATTTCCTTTCAAAGTTCATCTTCTGTTATTCAACCTAGAAAGAGGTTAATTTTGGAACGGACACCAATAACTCTTCTTCGCTTGCTGATAGAACTTCTTGGACTAAACAGCCCCAAACATATCTGCTACTTCCTTGATCGTAGATGATCTGATCTGGAGTTCACCATTAAGGCAATCAATACACTCCAGCATCTCCCTTCTGTATTCTTCTCGCAGAGTGAGTCCAGCGTCTATTAATTGTCCCCATGCAATTCTCTTCTTAAACCTTAATCTTCCCTCTACCAATATTCCATATTAATCTGATTTAAAAATGACTTTTCAGAAGCATGTGTCACCAAGTGACAGCACTTCTCGTGTAGAAACAATCTTAAGGCCTCTAGGTTGGTCCCCACTTTGTCATGAGTAAAGCCTTTAGTCTGCTGATACTGCTGTGTAAGATTAACTTCTTCAAGTAGATCAGCCCAAAGGTAGAGGTAGCAAATATACGTGAAGTCACAGACAGCATATAAAAGACCTTGTGCTATATGACAATCGTGCTCAAATTGAAAAGTCGTCGCCAATGAAGAATCGGCGAAAATATAAATTTTTGAGTATTTCTTGGTTTCGATAGATTTGGTTTCAAAAACTTTTATTTAAAGTTTACATGAATTTAAATTAATTATTAAAAGATATACTAGAACATTTTGCAAAATCTTATGTTGTTAACCTTATAAATGGGAGAAAAACCATTTCTTGATATCTTTAATTTTTACTTGCATGTATTTAAAATCGCCCGACCTTATCGTATTTGATATCAAAGGAAAGATTTTTTTTACTCCGAAGGCAGATAAATATAGCTTCCGGTCACTTACGATAGTTACCGAATACTTCACTCGGCGTTGACTCATTTTTGCTTTAAACTTTTGAATAAGGGTTTCATGTGTGAACAATTGATGTTTTTTCGGTTATCCTTTTATGCAAATTTTTCAATTGGTGTCAGCCCCTGGGATGGTGTCACCTGATACGGTCCGCCACTGCTCAGGTGTGTAAGGAGAAGCGCTGCCAGGTCTCTGGCAACAAGGAGTAGGAAGAAGAAAATAAAGCCTAATTCTTGAAATCCCTCAATGTTTGCATTTGTTATTTATAAAGATTGAGCATATTGTAAGGGTTGTAATTATTGAATTTTTAATCATTTTTTGTGTGTGTGTGGAACACTTGATACTGCCCAGTCTCACTCAGACTCTACCTCCTGTGGCCCAGTCTCACTCAGACTCTACCACCTGCGGCCCAGTCTCACTCAAACTCTACCTCCGGTGGCCCAGTCTTACTCAAACTCTACCTCCTGCTCCCCAGTCTCACTCAAACTCTACCTCCTTCGGCCCCCGGATAATTAACGTTTGAGACCCCTACCCTTGACTGAAACAAGGCAGACATTAAGAATGACGTGATGAAGACATTACAGAGACAATACCTATCTTACAAGACTGCCCCTTAGGGCAATAACTGTACTATAACACCCTCCCCCCCCCTCTTTGACCAGCCGAGGGATCTTGTCAGAACAACACACACACACATTGAAACACACACACACATTGAAACACACACACACATTGAAACACACACACACATTGAAACACACACACACATTGAAACACACACACACATTGAAACACATTGTTCTCCTGGGGAGATCTTCCGTGTCTATTATCTTAATCAAGCATTATGCCCTACCACAAGCTGCAAGTGATCTAACACCCTAATGCATCGCTTACATCATTACACCCGTTTGGCAAATGTGTCCTAGCGTATCATTAAGTTAATCGATCTGATCCTGAATGTATCGGCGTGCCAGGTCGTTATTGTAATGAACGATACGTTCGTTAGCAGGGGGGCATCTGCCACCGAAGTAACATGATCCTACAAACAAACCACTTCAACTGCTTTATGAATTGTATTCCCCCCACCCCACCCCCACCCAGAGCTCCTGTTAGCAAGACAGTGGCTGACAAGGGTAAGTAGAACTAGAGTTGTCTATATTCATGTTTTGAGGCGCCGGCTACAGGTAGGACCTTGTAGTCTTGTCTGTCAGGCGCAGTCTGTGTCAGTCTATTATAGTCTGTGTAATAAAATATAACAAAATAGTCTGTGTACTTTCAACTGTTCCTCTTATAACAAAATAGTCTGTGTACTTTCATCTGCTCTACTTATAACAAAATAGTCTGTGTTCTTTCAACTGTTCCTGGTTTCAAATGCTTGTAAGTTTTATTCATCTATTACATGTGTTGTTTTTTTCGAGGCAAACAAAATTCCTAGAAACCTCGTCATAGCTTAGATCACAATTGATTTGTCAACATGACTTGCATTTTCATTTTTTTAAATTAAGCTTAAGTTTCTCTTTGTTTAAGTCTTTAATTAATCCTCATAGCAATTATTCCTAATGAACGCACTAAATATTTGCCTCAAATATGTTTTCTAAAACGCAGTGTCAGTAACCTTTTTGTGTAGAGGGCCCCATAGAATGTTTGTTTTTTTCGTTTTTTTTGTTGTTTTTTTGTATTGCGAATCACTGAATAATTTTTTTGTATACCTCATACACGTCATCAATGACGGGATTCAAACAATCGTTCCTAGTTCATTCAGCAAACAATCAGCCTAATAATTGCTTAACATTTCTCAGATGATTAGTATTCATTTAATAGTTATGATTACTGGTCAATAGTTTTCACCAATAAGTATAAGCATTCATAATTTTTTTACATTTTAAGATAAAACATGAGTCTTGTCTCAGTTTGATGGTTTGTTTTCTGAACAGTTCTAGGACTACCATCTAAGTTTGATGGTTTGTTGTCTAAACAGTTCAAGAACTACAACCTCGGTTTGGTTTGTTGTCTGAACAGTTCTAGGACTACCATCTCAGTTTGATGGTTTGTTGTCTGAACAGTTTTAGGACTACCATCTCAGTTTGGTGGTTTGTTGTCTGAACAGTTCTAGAACTACCATCTCAGTTTGGTGGTTTGTTGTCTGAACAGTTCTAGGACTACCATTTAATTTCAGTTTGGTGGTTTGTTGTTTGAACAGTTTTAGGACTACCATCTCAGTTTGGTGGTTTGTTATCTAAACAGTTCTAGGATTATCATCTCAGTTTGGTGATTTGTTGTCTGAACAGTTCTAGGACTACCATCTTAGTTTGGTGGTTTGTTGTCTGAACAGTTCTAGGACTACCATCTCAGTTTTGTGGTTTGTTGTCCAAACAGTTCTAGAACTACCATCTCAGTGTGTTTGTATGTTGTCCGAACAGTTCTAGAGCAAGCATCTCAGTTTGGTGGTTTGTTTTCTGAACTGTTCTAGAACTACCATATCAGTTTAGTGGTTTGTTGTCTGAACAGTTCTAGGACTACCATCTCAGTTTGGTTGTTTGTTGTCCGAAAGGTTCTAAGACTACCATTTCAGTTTGGTGGTTTGTTGTCCGAACAGTCCTAGGACTAGCATCTCAGTTTGGTGGTTTGTTGTCCGAACAGCCCTAGGACTAGCATCTCAGTTTGGTGGTTTGTTTTCCAAACAATTCTAGAACTACTATCTCAGTTAGGTGGTTTTTTGTCTGAACAGTTCTAGGACTACCATCTCAGTTTGGTGGTTTGTTGTCTGAACAGTTCTAGGACTACCATCTCAGTTTGGTAGTTTGTTGTTCAAACAATTCTAGGACTACCATCTCAGTTATGTGGTTTGTTGTCTGAACAGTTCTAGGACTACCATCTCAGTTTGGTAGTTTGTTGTTCAAACAATTCTAGGACTACCTTCTCAGTTTGGTGTTTTTTTTTGTCTCAACTGTTCTAGGACTACCATTTCAGTTGGCTGTTTGTTGTCTGAACAGTTCTAGGATCACGTTCACATTTGTTGTCCCAACAGTTCTAGGATCACGTTCACATTTGTTGTCCCAACAGTTCTAGGATCACGTTCACATTTGTTGTCCCAACAGTTCTAGGATCACGTTCAGATTTGATGACGTCAAATGGAGGACGGCAGACTGGGGGCGGTGAACCGTGGCATCAGAAGAAACCGGAAGGTCATCTACGTCACGAATGAGATCATCAAAAACAAACAGGTCAGTAGAGGCCAGAAATAGGTCACATGGATGACTAGACCGAATCACACAGTTGCAGGTTGCCCAGAAATTCATCTATTAATTGGAATTTTAAGTTAAGATTTGTCAACAATGCAGTTATTAGTAATAGTACACATCGCAGTTTACTTCTTATTTTTGAAATTGTTTACATCTAATGTTAACCTTTAAGATCTCTGAGATTTAAAATTTGTTTGTAAGACTATTCTGATATGCTTAAGGGTCATCCATAAAGTAGGTCACGCTATTTTCAGACAATTTTACCCACTACCCCACCCTCCACCTTGTTGACGTTATATGGTGGAATCTGTCACTAATCCCAGACCCTCCTCGCGACTCTTTCGATCTAAAAAAAAAATTAAAGTAGAAAAATATTAAAATTTAATCTAAAATACACCTCACTATAAAATTGTTAAATGTATAAAAGTGATATATACCGTAACAATATATCGATCACAACAGAAAGTTTAACAAAATTGTCAATTTCATTTTATATAAATTATATGCATTATTAAACAATATATTAAATATGTGACGTCACACAAGATATCCCTCTCACTTTTTCAAAAACTGTCAAACTATTTTAGAACCCCCCCCCCCCACATTTTTCCGGAGCATGAATTATTTTTGTGACGGTGACGTCACACAAGATATCCCTCTCACTTTTTCAAAAACTGTCAAACTATTTTAGAACCCCCCCCACCCCACATTTTTCCGGAGCATGAATTATTTTTGTGACGGCCCATTAGTTCTAGGCAACACAATTTTTGACAATTTATTTACTTAGGATATACAACATTCCTTTTGGAATACACTTACCTGGCATATTATTAATACTATTAGTGGTTTAATATAGCGTGGTACCCCAGCCTAGGGCTACACGTCAAGCCATGGACGACACCCAGCAGCATCGTTTTACGGTCAGAGGTGGGAATCAGTCAGGACAGTAGAGTTTAAAAAGTGTGGTTTTGAGAGCAGTTTTGAAGGCTGTGATGGTCGGTATATTACGGATGTGTAATGGAAGAGAATTCCATTGCTTGGGGGTACAGAAAGAGAAAGATCGTTCACCGTTTTTTTTTGTCCGAGTCTTTAAGACTGAAAGAAAAATGTACAATAATAGAGTTGGAATCTATTTATGAAGTATAAAAATAATAGACGTAATCCATTTACATTGCCTATCCGATAATAGACTTGGAATCTATTTACATAGCCTATACCAAAATAGATTTGGAATACATTTACATAGAATATACAACAACAGAATTGCCAAAATAGATCTGGAATACATTTACATTAATATGCAACAATAGCCTTGCCAAAAGGACTTTAGTTTTATTCGTCTTCCCAAAACTCTTCAGAAACTGTTTGAAAGCAGCCTGGTCCGAGACCATGACAAGATGGTGTACAAGCTGGCTGCCAGTGAGTTCAAGGCCAGGAAAGCCGCACTCATGAACCGAGTTCTACTACAATGTCTGAATGTTAACAAGAAGGTGATGTGCTTAAAACAAACAAAGAAAATGAAACGTGGTTTGAATGTGTGCCTTTTTTTGTTTTAATTGGTGTTTTTTTTAAATATTAGTGACGGAGAGGGAGAAGGTCAGAGCCATTTCTCTTCCACAAGAGAATCGTGTGACCCGCAGCTTCCTGCGCAATAATGTACGCCATGATGCCAAGGGTCAAGCACAGCAAGAACAAGACCAAGAATTTCATTAAAAACGAATTTGCAATCGATCTCCCTATCAAAGCCTGTCATTTCTCTGTCACATCATCAAAGCCGGTCATTTCTCTGTCACATCATCAAAGCCTGTCATTTCTCTGTCACATCATCAAAACCGGTCATTTCTCTGTCACATCATCAAAACCGGTCATTTCTCTGTCACATCAACAAAACCGGTCATTTCTCTGACACATCATCAAAACCGGTCATTTCTCTGTCACATCATCAACGCCTGTCATTTCTCTGTCACATCGTCAGATACTTTCTCAGCTGCCATGTTATTATAAAGATACATACTCTTCTATATAAATGTAAATATATATATGCCTAGCAGGTGTCGGTGCCCAGCAATGCATCAGATCTTGGTGTCTACGGAGGAAGGCCCTTGGACTCGTTCAGTAAAGACATTGAACAGTGGATCGCCTGGCAACACCCTAGACTCAGGAGACTTAGGAAGGTGGACCAGATCAAACGGAACTGTTTGAATGTGAGTGATCAATGTTGACGGCGAACTCAGCTGTGGGGAAAACATAATGATATTATTTCTGTACACAAGTATGGTAGATAACTGTAACATTTATCAATAAACCCATTTCCCCCAGGCTTCTTTCTGTTTTTTGTTTGTTTTGATAAGTACGTTAATTAATTAATATGGACTTGAGACCACTTAGGTGGAAGTAGAAAGGAACTAGATTGGTCGAATTTTCAATGAAAAGTCTTTTGACCGGTTGGTTTCTCTGTTTTAATTCCATCAATTGTACAAAAAGACCAACTCATGTCTGGCAGTCCCTTTTTTTTCCATGTTGATGTTTCAGCAAGGAGAGATCTTGAAGGACGAAGTAGCCAAGTCTAGGATGGACCAATTCTTTCAACACATCCGGGAGGACGAAGAGAGGAAGGCCCAGGCCAAACTCCGCCTTCAGCCTAAGCCCCAGAGAAAACTAAGATGGCGAGGTGGACTACCTGTCTATGACGACCAAGAGGCCAGGGAGGGAGACTTCCCTGACCCTTACGGGACAGCCAAACAAAGTCTGGACATCAACCCTCTCGAAAAGTTGGCCGGTTTGATCCCCAACCACTACAAGGCTGATCTGTTGGAACCGCTGTGGATCGATACACCCAGGGGCGATA